CTTTAGATATAGTTCTGAAAATTTAACAAAGATGAGGCATTCAAGATCTCTCAGTATTGTCAAATAATGAGGTATGTTTTATATATGTTTTATATATACCTCAAAAAAATTATATAGAGGTCTTTTTCTGAGGTGGAGACAAAATCTGTAACAGACTCCCTAAGGAAGTTCAACAGGCTCCAGCACAAAAAATCTTTTTAGTACCCGGCCAAAAGATTCCTTTTTGACCACATATTTCACGTTGGTTTTACTACTTCTTTTCTGCTTCATAATTTCATGGTCTTGTTGGCTGTTAACTTTAATGGTGTTTGAAGGTCGATGTACCATACTGCATTGTTTTTCTTGCTTTTATTTTTATATGCTAAGCTGGAATCCATTACAACGAAGGGCACTTTTGATTTTTTAAAAAATATATAAAATAAATGTTGGATCTCTCAGTGTTGGGTATCACTCGGCGAAAAGAAAACGTTATTACCCTAGAAGTATTGTCATCTAAGAATAATCATTTTTTAAACTCTAGTAAAGCAGCCTTAGCTGCTGTTTTAGTTGTTGAAGATTACATTCTTGTTTTGCTGGATTAGGGTACCAAACAGTTGAAACAATGCTTTCATTTTATCTTAGTTGTATTTGCTGTGCAAGGGTCATACAAGGGAAGAGAGACTGGGTACACACAGAAAAAAGGATATATACTGTATGTTCCATGTATTTGGCTCGTTGCCATGTCAAAAGTAATACCCCTTGCTGTTTCTGAAATTGATTTGCATGGAAGCCTTTTGCTGTCCATTGCATGCATACATTCCAGTGCTACTAACCAGAATAAAAAGGTTGTGAAGGGGAGGGTGAAAGGTAACCTGTTTTATTACTTAGGTATGAAAACAGTGAGGTAATTAATAAAATCCTAAAATTGTAAAACTGGAGCTCAAGAAATCTACATGGGTAACGTGACAAAGAACAATTTAAGCTTTTGCCTCTCGGGGAAGTGTGACATTTGGAATTGATTTCACAGCCTGATTTTCATTAAACTGTGTTTTAAGACTTGAGATTATAAGAAAGCCAGGCAACCAAGTTCATAATAATGATTGATAGTGTTACTGTCAAGCCTAGAACCCTCCCTCTAGAAGTGGTGCAGACATATTTAAAAGTGTATGGTTCAAGGTGTTTTGCATTGAGAAACCTATACGTGGGACAGGAAGCAACAGTTAGAAATGGACATGGAACAACTGATTGGTTCAGAATTGGAAAAGGAGTATGACAAGGCTGTATATTGCCCCCCGGCTTATTTAACTTATATGCAGAATACATCATGCAAAAGGCCGGACTGGAGGAATCCCAAGCCGGAATTAAGATTGCCGGAAGAAATATCAACAACCTCCAATATGCAAATGATACCACTCTGATGGCAGAAAGTGAGGAGGAATTAAGGAACCTTGTAATGAGGGTGCAAGAGGAGAGTGAAAAAAAAAAACAAACGGTCTGAAGCTCAACATCAAAAAAACTAAGATCATGACCACTGGTCCCATTACCTCCTGGCAAATAGAAGGGGAAGATATGGAGGCAGTGACAGATTTTAATTTCTTGGGCTCCATGATCACTACAGATGATGACAGCAGCCACGAAATTAAAAGACGCCTGATTCTTGGGAGGAAAGCAATGACAAACCTAGAGAGCATCTTAAAAAGCAGAGACATCACCTTGCTGACAAAAGTCCGCATAGTCAAAGCTATGGTTTTTCTTGTAGTGATGTACGGAAGTGAGAGCTGGACCATAAAGAAAGCTGACCGCCGAAGAATTAATGCTTTTGAATTGTGGTGCTGGAGGAGTCTCTTGAGAGTCCCCTGGACTGCAAGGACAACAACCCTATCCATTTTGAAGGAAATCAACCCTGAGTGCTCACTGGAAGGACAGATCCTGAAGCTGAGGCTCCAGTACTTTGGCCATCTCATGAGAAGACTCCCTGGAAAAGACGCTGATGTGGGAAAGTGTGAAGGCAGGAGGAGAAGGGGACGACAGAGGATGAGATGGTTGGACAGTGTCACCGAAGCTACCAATATGAATTTGACCCAACTCCGGAAGGCAGTTGAAGATAGTCCGTGGCGTGCTCTGGTCCATGGGGTCACGAAGAGTTGGACACAACTAAATGACTAAACAACAACCAACAAAAAATACATTATAGTTTAGGAGCAGCAAAAGAAAAGTATGGACTTAAAATGTATAACATTGTAACAAGGTACATTTTACACATTATGTATCTGTACACTCAACAAGAAGATTACAGCATGCCCTGGATCCTCGTCAAAGGCACATGAGTTTACTGCATTCGTGTAGTACATTTTTAGATTTACAATTAAAATATCTCAGGATTGCCTCTACAATGCAGTATTTGAAATAGCCAATCTGAGGTTTCTTTTCCTAAGCTACACTATAAGGGAAGGTAATATTTTGACCAATGATCATGCTAGTTGACAAATCCTGGGAGTTTAGTCCACCATTTCATAGTCCAATATTTCAAAGTCCTGTCCACAACTTAGGAAAAAAATATTGTCTGTTCGGTTTCTTCTTTGCCTAGTGCCTATCTCCTATTCACACCCATGTATTTTGCGCTTGCATACAATACATGTGCCAAAAGCACACATAACAAAGAACAGGGACTTCTTTTGGTGACCAAATTCTCCTTCATATGCCTGTGAACTGTGAAACCTAAACAGGTTCACCCTTCCACAACCTGGCACTTCTAAATGTGTTAGATTAGTTCTTTTGCTCCAGCCAGAAAATTGGGCAATGAGAACTGTAATTTAACAGATCTAAAGGTCTGGCTGAATCAAGTGAAGAATCTTTGTGTGTGTTGCAGGGATCCTTTATGACCAGCTACTTAATTGGCTATTGAGGCCAATTTACCATCATTCTGACTGCAGTGTGACATATAAAAGACATGCAGAATTTTGCAGAATACCATAACATGGGATTGTATCACCAGTCCAGTGGTAGCAGCAACGTAAGACCATTTAGATCCCTGTTGTGACTCTTCCCTTTGAAAAATATCTGAACTGGACTCATTCCATTTCTGCAATTACAGGAATAGCCGTTTCAGAAAAATCTCCATCCAGGAGCTAGACTTGGGACCTAGTGGATCAACGATGGAACTTGTTGAGCCTGTGCAATCAGTTACTATTTTTGGTTTCACCTGAAGCTTGCATCCGCTGTATCCTAGGAGCAATTGCTTGATGCATACCAAGAACACCCACATGTTTTAGATTTGATTGTGTTGCTTTTGTACTTAAGGTAACTTTTGATAGGATCTTCAAGTAAAAGCAGCTAGACCAGTTTTCCTAATGCTGTGTCTGGGGCTGTCGTCATGTCTGTAGTATAAGGTATTGTGTAAGCCATAATTCTCATTTAAGAACCCTTGCAACTGTAAGAAGTTTCACCGAAAGCCTTCTGATTTCATTTAGTTCTTATTCCTCAAAGAAACACACAAACAAAACACCTAATGGGATGTGAATGATGCTGCCTTTTTCTTTGGAAGAGAAATCCTTCTTTTTTCATTATAGCAAGATTTCTCTGTGTGAGGGTTCCTTAGAAATCTTGTAGAGTTGCTTAGAAATGTTGCGGTCATTTTCCTGAAACAAATGTCAAGTTGTGCAGGATTGTTACAGTTCCTGCACAGAATTGTCTCTTTCCTGTGCAGGACTCACCTGGAAAGAAGAACTGTCAAGCTGCCTGTAGCCTGGAATTGTGGGGAAAATTCAAACTAGGCCATGTTTCTTTGTTGAGCTATACTTGAGTTACAATGCTTTTAAAATTTAAAATAATGACAAGAAAAAAAATACATCAACCAGAACAATATGCTTAGTGATATAGTAAAAAAATTGTGAATCCCAGTTATTTATCATTGTAGTCATAACAGAAGTAGTCCCAGGCAATGGTGTTGATCTCTATCAGCTATTAAGTTCTGGAAGTTTTCATCTCCACAAGGAGATCCTTTGTAAAGTGGATGCATCTTCCATTCAGAAACAAACTACCATATTTTTCTGTGTATAAGACACTAGTTTTTTTTCCTAAAAACATTACACTAAAAATTGAGGGGCATCTTTTACACATTCTGAGCCCAGAGGCTGAATCCTCAAACCTATGCTTTCTTAATTCTGAGGTTAGAAAGGGAGGGCATCTTATAAACGGGGGCGTGTTATAAACAAAAAATACGCTAAGCTAAAATATGTCAGCTGCATGTGCACAACAGGGGTAAAGTTATCATCAGTGGCAAATTGCCATTGATTAAAACCAAATTGCCACTGATTGAAGGCAATTTCAGGGTGCATATGACTTGTAATCAGTGCAACAAAGCTGCACACTTTCCAACATCAACAAAAGAAGCCTCTAATCGGCAGCAGTTTGTAGCTGCTGATCCCATCATTGTTGCACATATGGAGTGGTACAAGATTTCAGCTACAGGGTCACAACAGGTGTCATTCATGACAATTTAGTGTATCTGGAAAAAGTAATTACCCCACAACTAGTGTAAGGCTTATTAGTTATGTCAGGATGTATTATGTCAAGGGAAGGAGGGCAGTCTGAGAGACTGGCAGAGAATGCCATCATACCTGCTAATAAAAGGTCCCAGCACCTTGGCTCTACTGCAGTATTGTTTGCACTGCCAACCTTTGCACGATCAGTTCAAAAGCCTTGATTTGGTAATAAAGTCTTCAAGTGCACTTGGGGGCTTCCTTTCCTGTTGACAACTTTTCATTGTTATGTGTATAGCTGCCATTGAACGGAAGCTTCAAGTGACTCCTAAACATCACTTTTTGTCAGCAGTGTTAACATATACCTCATGAAATGATCTCAAGAATATGTACGAGTGGAAGAAGTATTTCTGTACAATATTTGCTGAACAATGATAAATTTTCCTGTTATTTCCTCTTTTGGTGAAATTGTACTATCGTGTTTTCTGATCATTTTCTTATAATTGACAGCCTAAAATATATATATCTTTGTTTTTGCAGATCATCATAGGAGAGTTCTATCGGATCCATTGCTTGAAGGAGAAGTCCCGGTCTTTTATCCAAAATCCATATGTGGCAGCTTTGTACAAACAAGTGGGATGTTTTGCCTTTGGTTGTGCCATCAGCCAGTCCTTCACAGATATTGCCAAAGTGTCTATTGGACGCCTGAGGCCCAATTTCATTGCAGTTTGCAACCCGAATTTTACACTGATCAACTGTTCCAAAGGATATATCCAAGACTATGAGTGCCTTAACCCTGATGAAAGCAAAGTCCAGGAAGCAAGGTGAGAAGAATTTTCTTTACAACAGAAATGGTTTGGTGGAATTGGGAGTAAAATGGTGTCTTTATATGCATACACATTTTGGGAGTGAACAGTGCATTCAAAATAGTTATCGTTTTGAAAGACAGCAAGGCAACTGAAGAATGTTGAAGAGAAAAAGGATATCTAAGGTGGGGATGCTATAGAGGTGCATAAAATTATGAATGATGTAAACTGGAGAAACTTGATAGGGAGAAGAAACTCTGCTCACCCCCTAATGATATCAGAAGCCAAGATCACCAAAGACGAATATTGGGATAGACAAAAGGAAGTAGTTCTTCATACAGTGCACAATTAAACTATCAGATATTCTACCATGAGATGTAGTGATCACCACCACCATACAGTATATGGCATTAAAGAAGGACTAACAAATTCATGGAGGCTGAGGCTGTCGTTAGTCATCGTGATAGCTATGTAGTACCTTTAGAAAAGACTGTGTGCTTCTGAGTAACCAATTGATGAAGAAATGGAATGGGAGAAGATTGACCCTCATGTTCATGTCTGGCCATTGTGGGAATCGGGATGCTGGAAGTAGAGGCATCTTTAGTATGACCAAGCAAGGCTGTTGTGATGTATTTCTGAACTATGAGTCAAAAAGTCCACAGTTCAGATATCACATTTGCCATGAGCCCATGATTCTCCCTTGAACAGTTCTATGATTATTTAATCAAACTGCCATTGTCTGTTTTTCAGCTTGTTCTGAAGAAATTGTGCAAATGCTTTTAATTTAAGTCCATTATTTTAGCCTAGTCTCCATTTTCTTGAAGCGTGTTGTGCTAATACTGACTCGACTTGGAAGACTGCTTTAAAGATTCTAGGATAATGACTAGAATTCTGTTGAAATTGTGGAGCATAAACTGGCAATCATAGAAGCAGCGTGCATGAACTTGTCATGAACTGTTGCATGCTTGAATGGGCCCTGGTCAAACAACTGATCACACACCCAACATCTGACACCCTAGCATAATGCAAAAATTGCTAATGCAGTTGCTGTTACATGCACAGTATCTTATAGTAGAATCTTATCCAGTGTATAACCAGTGAGGCTTTGAACTTTCAAAACATAATATATGTTCCTCCTTAACTGTTCTGCCATTCAAATGAATCTGAATTAACACATGTGTTTTAACTTTCTGAAGAGTAAAATCTAATGGCACAATGTTTCCTTAATAGTGTTAAGTATCTTCTTTTAAACAAATAAGCAAATAAACAGAAAAGTTCATTGCCAAAACAAAGAAAACTTAAGGGAGATACAGTGGACCCTCTACTTACGGAATTAATTCGTATTGGAACAGTGGCTGCAAGTCGAAAAGTCTGTAGGTCGAATCTCCGTTGACATACAATGCATTGAAAACCAATTGATCCCATAACCAGTGGTTTTTATTCTATTTTTGTTCCATTTTGTTTTTTTTCTGGTCTGTAGGTCGATTCTCCGGCTGCAAGTCGAATCTAAATTTTGCAGCCAGAGAAGTCTGTAACTCGAAAAGTGTGTAAGTCGAGCCGTCTGTAAGTCGAGGGTCCACTGTAATAAAAAGTTTTTAGAAATAAAAAAGAAGCTGGATTAATCTGATATATCTAACATTACAAAAAAAAATTCCTTACATAAGATTTTTTTTTGAAAAAAAGAATATTTCATATCTGTTAAAGCAAGTGGATTGATGGCAAATTTAGATAAACATTCTAACAAAGATCAGCTTTCACTTGTAAAAAAACCAACTGTGTCACTGGTAACAGCAAAACTGCAAAGGAGTTTCAGAAATATTCTAGAAGTTTGCAGCTCAGGTGAATGAATTATATTATTTAATTAAGGTTGCAATCCTAAACCTTTTTATTTGCCAGTAAGTCCCATTGAACTTGCCAGAGTAAATTCTGAGCACTGGTGTATAAAATTCTGCTGCAGATGAATAACTTTTCTTTAAAAAATCCACCCCAGCTACTTGAGGGACCAACTGTTTGTACAACACCAGATTGCAGAACCTGCGTAAATAAACTGGGCCATGTGGCTTCTCTCCAGAATTGTATATAAAATTGTCACTGTGATCGCTGATGGGTCCATCGATCAGAGGTGCATTTTGGAGACCAGTAAAACATTAATATAGATAAGCAGTGAGTACACATTTTAGCTAGCTTTTGTTGGAAACTATCCTTATGGTTTTAATTTAAAGGAATATATATTCTTATGGGCCTCTTACTGTCTCTACTACCCCACAAAGATGTTGTGAGGAAAATGAAAGAATTTGCCAATTATTGAAAATAACAACATGGGCATCATATTTTCCTTCTTTTTCCCCCCCAGAAAATCGTTTTTCTCTGGCCATGCCTCCTTTTCTCTGTACACCATGCTTTATTTGGTGGTAAGTATAATATCATTTTACCCCTAATAAATCATGTAGGATCTCTTTTCTCTCTTTTTGAGGATAACGAGGAGTAATAGGCTAAATGTTTATGCAGGGAATATTTGGGTGAAAAGAAGAATCATTAGTACACATCTAGCCATGTTTATGTAGTCTGTAGTTATATATACCCAAATAGGGGTGGAAAACGTTCAGCCTATGGGCCTCATGGGTCATCCCTGGGCCTAAATGCATTAGGCAGAACCCTTGAAGGGCAACTCCACCCCACACACACTTCAGTCTTTTTTATTATTATTGGCATAGGAAGTCCCTCTGTACACTCTGGGGTGTGGAGGAAATTTTTAACATGTGTAGTGGGGGGGTGTCACTAGCACCCATTTCCCCTACTTTCAACAAGTATTTTTTTTAAAAAAATGCACTAGAGGGTATGTGGCCACTGTTTAAATTCTTTAAAAAGGCATTTAAAAAAAATTATTTGGGTGTACATGAGGTGTGGGAGTATATGCAGTCCAGGATGCAGCCCTTAGTCCAGGATGCCTGCCCTATTCTAAAACCATTGGCCAATAGTTCTGGCATTCACCCTTTAGAGTTTAAGACAGTATATTTTAAAGATAGTTCATACTGCCAAGTTCCTCTATACTATGATGTGCACCAGTATGTGAACAGAATATTGCTTGAACTGGGCAGTAGGAAGAGCAGCCACAAGATTTCAAGTTGCCTATGATTCACAGTACTGGTTCAGAGTAATACAATTCTGTAAGCTAAGGCAGCAGTGTAAAAATAGGTTGAAGGAATTAATTGGTATGGAATATCCTTTACAATGAGCTTTTTGCAGAAAAAAAATGGGTTTGTTTACTTCTGTAACCAAAGGCACAGTAAATTGTGTTTAGATACCAGGTTATTTCCAGAGATAGGTGCTTGTAACCATGCAGCTCCATGCTTCCCACAAACATCCTTTTTGGCTCCCTGGAAATGCTGCATAGAAAGTCTGAATGTTGAAGGCGGCAAGCTGGGTGTGAAGAAAAGGGGAAGATCCTCCCAAATCAGGCAGAGGGACCTTACATGGGTAAAAGGTAGATCCTGGATTTACACTGTGGTCATCAGATACATGTATGAATTATTCTCAGCTATCAGCTTTGATATGATTATCCATCAATGGAAGCTGCCTTAAATACACTGGTAAGTTCAGTAGTGCAGGTCAAGTTACTTGTGGGAAAAGTTGACTTCTTATCAAGATTTCCTTTTTAAATAATGTATCACAATGCTCCAATAGTTTCTGTAGGATGGCACCAGGAGTATTCCTCTTTGTACATTAGAATTTCTGATACCTGGGAAAGAAATGTATGAAGACAAGGAGCATAATAGCCCTAGTCAGCTCAAGAACTGGTAAAGGATTATAAATAGGTGCAGTCCAACAATCTATTTGTGCTACCCCCATTTGTGCTAAGGGTTCTGAATTCAGGAAGGAGTATTGGGGCTTCACACTTTCCTAACCCCAGCCATCCTGACCTCAAGCACCTCAGCATACAGATACTAATTTGTTTTAACTAGATTGCTCAGTTCTCCCCAACTGGGTTAATAACAAGATTTGTTTTTTTTCCCCTTAGCAATCCATTTATTTAGCTGGTTTGTAATTCTATAGTAGTTGAACACTGGATTTAATTGTTGTTAGCTGCAGTTAACTTATATTCTGACTTTCTGTAAGCACCAGAAGATCAGGATATAAGTTTTTTCAAATAAGTAAATACATAAAATAAGCCATAACCCATGGTTAGTTAACCTGTATTACCTATAAACTATAATTTTACTACTGATATTAATCATAAAATATGGTTCAGTAAGCTAGAAAGGTACTTGATGGTTGGGCCAGAGAGTATGGGCAGACATCACCCAATTTTGTTTCTCATCAGAGAGTTGAGGATTTTGATATACAAAACAGGTCCACTGTTAATTTGTGCATTTAGGGATATTTTGATGCTAAGGTAATAGAGTGATTTAATCTGCCTGAAACAGCATGCCCACATTACTTGCTCCAGTCTCTGGAAAAAGCAGAGGCATGAAAAGCACAAGGAATGTAAGCCTGCACGTACTTCATTTCACCATGGAACATAATTGAGATAATCCCTGGCTACTTATCTGGTATTTACATACGTCAAGTCAAAATCATAATTATGTGCTTCATTAGATTACAGGGGGAAAAAATCTACTTTCTGGGTAGCATTCCAGGGAGCAGGGCAGGTGGACTTGCTTGCCCACGTAGTTTCACCCAAAGTATGGGGTTGGTCTTGTTTTTCTTTGTCAATGAAAAATGGCTCTGCCCTTCCTTTCCTCAGCTTGCTATGCCAGAGTGCTTCCTGACTAAAGTTGCTGGAAGTATGCTTGATAGAGCTTTTCAAAGAACCCGGTGCAGGTCAATTATAGGTGCAACTTCTCTGAGCAATTTGGGGGTGGGGGGGAAGAAATTTAGAGAGTGATTTGTGGTAAATGTAATTAAGGGAAAGCTCCCCCCCCACCACCTTTAGAGACTTTCAAAAGACCTGGGGGCCCCATATCTCCTGTAACTTTGGATATGAAATGAGAAGACGGATGGGGTTTGGGCAGACCCAGCTTTATAAAAACATTACACATAAACTTATATCAATGAATAGGCCTTCACCACCACAATTCCTACTCTTTGCTATCTGAAAGATAAATGAAGACACAACTCCCTCCTGTTTTTTCCCTTTTTCCTTCCAGCTTTTTAAAGTAATTTAATTACCATACTTTTCAGACTGTTTCGTGGTCTGCATGGATTTATTTCCTCATATTTTTCTCTCACTTCTTTTTAAATGTTTCAAAGTTATTCCGTAAACATTTACACCATTTCCTCTCAGCAATGCTAAAATAACATTGCCAGTGAACTGGAGGGAGGGATATGCAACATGAAAGAGTTTAAAACTCTGTTTTTGATCTCCCCGTCTTTGAGAACTCATAGATGAAGAGGGTATGTGTCTAGCAGCTGGTTGTCACAAGGGAGCACGTCTCTAAGACTTTGGAATAAACGTTTTGTTCTAAACTACCATCACTTCCATTTTAAGCTACATATATTCTGTAGCTAGCATTTTAGCCATGAACAGGACTTTGGAGCATGGGAACAAAATAAGCCACTACCAATGCTTTTCATCTTTTTGTACCTGTCTCATAATTTTTATTGGTGTTCCCAGAACCAATTAATTGATTATTTTTACCTCATATCTTCAAATTATGCTTTTCTTGAACAATCACATTCTCATGGAACCAATGAAATATTGCTACATGGTGAGGGCATTGAGAACAAATAGTCTGACAAACAATTAGGAAATACTAATATAACACATGTTAATTAGCTGTATTTGACACTGAGGCTATCATCTGGCTACCTAGCTATACAGGTAGCTGAAGAAGAAAACACTGTTAAAACTACTTGGTCTAAGCAAAGATGGTTCTGAAGAACTGTGTTTTTAGGGGGGGTTGTCTGTGGGGGGGTTTCTGTTTGTTGGGGGGCAAGGTTGGAGTGAGGGAGGTATTGGACCTAAGATGATGAAAGTGCCAGCATAACTGCCCAGATGGTACTTGCAAAAAGGATATTTTCATTTCATGATGTCAGAATCTGATGGAAAGCATTGCTGTCTGAATGTGTCAGGAATCTGAGCCACCAGCTTTACTTTTTTCTATCCCCTCCCACTATCCAACCAGCAAAAGAAAGCACATTTCATAGGAGCTGCATTTGTTTATGGAATACCTGCCCCCCCCCCAATCCCTTTCCCTGGCTTGGTTTCAGCATTATCATGCTTCGGAAGTGACATTTGGGGAAGTCAACTTTAGTTTAAATGACTTTTTTTATATTCACCAAGGCTTTCACAGCTGGGATCTAATGGTTGTTCTGGGTTTTTTGGGCAGGTTGCTGTCCTCTGAAGATGCCGGCCACAGAGACTGGCGAAACGTTAGGAAGAACAACCTTCAGAACACGGCCAAAGAGCCCAAAAAACCCAGAATGATGACTTTTTTTTTAGTTTGGAGTTCATTCTTTTAAAAAAATTGGGTTGTTGAAACAAGCATATAATTTCTCTGAAACTGGGTGGTGTCATTTTGGGTTTCATCCCATGGAAAAGATATTGTCAATGGATTATTTTCCTCTCCATCTCCTGCTGCCCCACATGCACCCACTCAGGCAATTCTTGACTCTGAACCCACAGAAAAGTAATTAGCAAGGTTTATTGTCCCGACTAATCCCATGATAAGAAAAGGGGGGAAAAATACTCAGCTCTGCTGCTTTCATCTTTTAGATGAAAAAAAATATTGAAGTGCTGACTAATGTTGAACATTCCCACAAGGTGCCAGTTTCGCTCCCTTCTCATTTGACTTCAGGTGCAGGAATCTGTCACTGTTCAGCCAGCTTTGCCTGAGGGCAAAACCCTGTAGGGAGTGAGTCAGCATGAAATCTGCCAGGTCTGCATTTCTTGGTTCCTGCTAGTTCAGCATTATCTTTCCCAGACATAATGAATTCGAATTTGAACAAGTTTAGTAAAAAGGTAAAGGTTCCCCTTGACAATTTGTCCAGTTGTGTCCGACTCTAGAGGGTGGTGCTCATCTCCGTCTCCAAGCGGTAGAGCCAGCGTTTGTCCGAAGATAATCTTCCATGGTCACATGGCCAGCGCGACTACACACGGAACGCCGTTACCTTCCCAGTGTGGTGGTACCTATTTATCTACTTGCATTTGCATGCTTTCAAACTGCTAAGTTGGCGGGAGCTGGGACTAGTGACAGGAGCTCACTCCGTCACATGGATTCGATCTTATAAGTGCAGGTCTTCTGACCTTGCAGCACAGAGGCTTCTGCGGTTTAACCCGCAGCGCCACTCATGTTTTGTTTCCACTGGAATACTGGAAAATAAATGCACATATTTTAAAAAATTGTGTATTTGCTTGAGACAATTATATGGCTCTGCTTCTCCACTCAGACTTTGCATGTATGACTTAAGA